TGTGGAAAATTTTTGGAATGAATTTGAAATTTACACCAACTATTTATTAATTTTTTCCATTTTACTCGGAACGAAACATTCTTTTCGAAGTGATAAATAAAGGAGACTATTTTCTTTGAAATTTTTGGTAAAAAATATTATAGAAGTTGAAAGAATTATAACAAAAACTAATTGTAAAAAGGAATATTTCTAAAGTTAGCTCTCTAAATATGAACAAAATCGGACTATAAATACTGGTTTATCATCGACTTATATATCGACTCGTTCGCCACCTATCGGCAAAATTTTTAGTGAACCTCTTCATGTAGTTAATATACTTTCTAAATATGAACCTAATCGGACTATAAATACGGGATTTTCAAAATTCGGATTGACTCATCAGGTTCTGAGCCAACTGTGAATTTGTGAATGGCTTTGAAATATTTTCTTTGGTTAACATAATTCGTTAAAAAGAAGGAACTAATCAAGATTTTTGTGAATTGTTAACCAAATAAAACAGATTAGTGGTTGGCAATTTTTTGCGTGCTATTATTAATTTTTGTTATCTTCAAAGAAGAATGCTAATAAAAGTGTCTTGTCTAAACCGATAAACTTCCTACGCAAATTCCTCTTAATCTAAATGGCTTTTTAATTTACTTCCACACGCATCGTGGCAATCAAAGCTCATTGCCATGACAAAAAAAATGTGCTCAAATCAGCGTAGAGTAGAAATCCGTCTTAACCACAACAAATTTCTTAACATATGCTACAATCCGATTACGACTAATTAGCAACGCTTTGCTTTATTGCAACACACTTTTTACCGCCGCGACGAACAAACAAACATATGTATACATATGTGTGTGCAAAAGTACTTTTGCTTAATGAGGTATTGCGAAGACTTGCGGTTTAAATCCTACATGCTGAAGTAAAGAACCCCCCCCCCCCCAAAAAAAAACAACTGAAGCTAAAGCAGCTACACTTTAGAGCTTAATAAATACCCGCACAGCGCTCAAACGCACTGCTCGAGCTGTGGCGTAAAATGTGCAAACAATGCCCAAGTTGGTGTGTCAGGCAAACAGAGACGAAGCGGGCTGCGCCAGGTAAGTTTACCGTGGGGAAAGGGTAATGAAAAAATAACGTAATATAAAGCGCAAGAAAAGTGCACTGAGAAATAGACATAAAAATTGGCAAAGAATGAAGCTGAAAACGTTGCTGCACAGTTCAAAGTGGTGGCTACAGCGGCGAAGGTGCCACGTGGAATGAGACGCGCAAGTGTGGGTTAAACCAACATTGGATTTAGCTAGTAACACGATGAAAATTCACATCACACCAAAGTGGATTTTGTAGCTAATTAAAAAACACAAATCATTTAAAATTTCGCACGAGAAATGTGTAAGACGTTCATGAGCAAGCTAAGCGACTCTGAGCGTGTAAGAACTAAGTGAGTGAAGTGCGGCAGACAGCAAAGAGGATTAAGCAGCAATCTGGAAGACGGCAAAAGCAATGGGAATGGGAATGGAGATGCCGACGACAGAGAAAAGAGCAAACAGCATACAGCGAAAGTGAATGATGGAGAGAGGGCAAACAGTTGGCAGCATGTTGGATGCTATGTGAGTTGCATTCATACATACATACATGTGTACATACAGCGCAGAAAACAGGAAACAGGACTTGTAATTGGCACAGGAAGAATGTCGGTGTTGGACGAGTAAAGAGTGGGAAGAACTAAGAAGAACTAAGTAAATGAATGAAATCGCAAAAGAGCAAGAAACAAGAAGTAGCTAGTGGCAACGTAAGTAACCCTAGCGACTTGCCACAACGCTGTAAGTCGCTGGTATTTATGGCTGAGTGGCAGCCTTAGACGGTTGTTGTTGGGCTAAACTAACCGACTACTGCATGTTTGTATGTGAGTGTGCGCTTACTTACACTAGCATTACACTGCATTGCTCTTGTGTTGCAATTTAATTTTAACGTATTTTTCTGTGCTGCTTGCAAGCAAATACTTAAAATTGGAAATCGGAAAGAGGGTAGCAAAATAAAACCTGTTTCTACGCACTATTTGCAATGCTTTTTATTTTTATTTTTATTGGCACTTAGTGCAGTCGTGTCTACCATCAGCTGAGCATCGCAATTGAAATGATGAAATTTACTTAAACCGTGTCGTACATTCTCAAGTACTTCTGCATTGGATTGCAGCTTAATTGCATACAAGGCCAATGTATGCGGCGAAGATGGATGTTTTTTTTTTTAAAGCAATGCATTTCAACAAGAAAAGAAGTAAGTTGTTTAAACAGCCTTGTTTACAGTATGACGCATGCGTGGCGTGATTAGGTGTAAAATATGGCATCTGTGTAATCAAATAAGACGTTCGTTTTTGAGTCAAATAACAATCATTAGTAATGCCAGAGAGAAAGCTAAATTCACGTTAGGCGAAAATACTATATATGCATGAAGACGCAGAGCTACGTTACTGGACGAATACGGTAGGTAACAGACAGGCCAGGTCCTTCATTCCGGATACATCAACAGGATGAACCGAGACCTCCGTCACCTCAGTAGGTATATAGGATCATCAGATTTAGAAGCACACCACCTAAATGGCATTCAGCCTGAGGACCTCGTGAAGTTCTTTAGCAATACGTTGATCAAAGAAGACTTATAGTTGAATAGAGGTTTCTTACAATAGACCGTTTCGATCGCGGTAACAAAAGCGAAGGAAAGGAAAAGTCTTAAGGGAGGCTGTTGATATGACTCATTATGGGTATGTCTCAGGAACATTGGTCTAAAGAGGCATAGATTGTGTTACTATTAGGCGGATCGTTACCGTACTTCGTGCAATCAATATTACATATGCACACACATCTTCGTTGGGGAACACTGCTGCGAATATCAAAACCATAAGAGGGTGCACCAGCTAACTTTTCTTTCTACCTCACTTCGGTCCACCGTAATGGGCGATCTCTTAACCAAATTACAGGAGTGCGCTTACATACACTGGTATCACACTGGTGTGCTACATAGTGAGATCAACAGCATTAATCTACGAAATTCTTTTCTTGTACCTTTTACAGGAAGTTATAAACTTGGTAGTTTCTGCGCCTGGTGGAAGACGTCGTAAAAAAGAAGCAGACCAATCTTCTTGGAAGAGAGAACGCGAAAAGCTAGCTATGTAAAAGTTTCTGTTTCAAAACTCGCTATATTAATTTTTTATATATTAAATTTGCCAAAACTACCATACTGCGATTTTGTTTTTTAATGTTATTAGGCACTTATTTATCCAAAATTTCAGATAATAAAAAAAGATACAATTTGGATTTTACTTGTGTTGTAGACGTCTTTTTTAGTTTAATTTATGGATTATTAAATATTATAAAATCACATCACGCTGTTTGCAACAAAATACATATGTACATATGTATGTATGTAGGTACATAAAGCACGCTTGAATCTTTGCTACTAACTTCGCTTGGTAGTGGCAAAGCTGAAATGCAAAATGAGATTATAAACAGGGTTCGGATTTGCCTCATTTTAGCCCCTCGCTCGCTCGTTAGTTTGCTCTGAGCTTGCGCAACTCGATATTTTCATATTTCATATTTTGTAATCGATTTGGGTATCGATTTGGATATCGATTTAATAATCGATATTTTTATTGATTTTGTTGTCAATATTTTTATTGATTTTGTTATCGATTTTATTAACGATATTTTTACTGATTTTCGGGTCTATTCGGGATTTTCGGAATATTCGAGACTGTTTCGGGATTCTCGGGAGAATGTCAGGAGTCTTAAAAATCCCGAAATAGTCCAAAAATCCTGAAATTGGCTTTAAACATCCCGAATTAGTTCCGCGGAGCCCGAAAATCCCAATATAATCTCGAAAAATCGAAAATAGTCCAAAAATTCCGAAATAGTCCAAAAAGCACGAATTAGTAGAGGTGAAGATTCCGAAAATCCCGGAGAAGTCTCAAAAATACCGAATTAGTTCCGAGGACCCCAAAAATCCTAAAGTAGTCCCGAAAACCCCGAAATAGTCCAATAATCCTGGAGAAATCTCGAAACTCCCCAGTTAGTTCGAGGATCTCAAAATTCTCAAAGTGGTCTCCAATATCGCGAAATAGTCCAAAAATTCTGAAAGAGTGCGAAAATTCCGAAGATTCCGAAAACACTAAGAAGTCTCGAAAATCCCGAATTAGTTCTAAAAATTAATATTTTATTTGCGTTGCATGACAAAAGTATTATTTAGTTGAAAAATAACAAATCAAATTGATTCGCTCTACAAATCAAATGAAAAATTTTCTTATTTTTTTTCTCTTCCAGCGATAAGTGTCCGGGACCAACAGCAACGGAAATTGTATGCAAATAACCCTTTCCCACTCAGGGGAGCACACATCTACAAAAAATAAACCACCTGTTCTGTTTTGTGGGTAATTTTTTCTTGTAAATAGGGACGGTTATTTTGGGACACTCTCAAAGTGGAGAGGGTTATTTTGGCCTCTGGTTTAAACTAATAAATCAAAAGCTCTCTTTTCCAACACAATTTTTTCTACTTAATACAATTAAAAGTAAGCCAAAATCTCAAACACGAACCTGTATGCCTTAATAGGCATACTATGTGGTACAGTCGTACAGTCTTGCCTTATTGCCGCGGACTTTTAATGAAACACGATTGCACCGAAATGAGGTTGGTTATAACAAAGAATAGATAGCTGCAGCTGATCACAATCACTATAAAACGCAAAAAGGCATACCCTCAGCTTGAATGCAACTCCTTAAAGCAACATCATCATTTGAGGGCAATTGGAAGAATGCCAACGATAGCTGAAAAGCAATCAAGCTAACGATACAGAAACTGAAACAGACACAGATATTACACCAAGCAGATTGCAAAGACGACGAAAATACGACCAGAGAATTCACCGCAATTGAAATGTTTTCATACTGAGTGGTTTGGCAAATGAAAACGTCAACGCCGGCCATTGCCATTTTCATTTACCTGTGGCCAAGAATTTACGGTTTTAGTTGACTGCTCAAGCAATAAGCCGACGCCAGCAATATCTTCATCAGCAACAATAGCAACAACAGCACTATATAGCAACAGCACATCGACCAGCAACAATGCCAATAACAATAAGAACAGCGACAACACAGTAGCAATTGCCTCACTATCACCAGACGATTGACAACTGTTGTAGATGGGCACAAAAGAAGCAGTCGGCCGGCGGCTAACCAGCAAAATACACACACACACACACACACACACATACATACCTTGCAGGAAATGCATCTAACTATAAGCCAGCTTTAAGCTGATTAGGAAGGAGCTTAAAAAGCTAACTATATATTTCTATGGCGATGGCCATTCCTTAGTAAATATTTATGTTTTTCTTCTTTTGGAATTGGAGTTTCGTTTCTTCCGGAATCGTTTTACATTTCGTTTGGAATCGAGTCTCGGGGTTCTACTGGAACCACTTTTCACTACTATTGGAATCCAGTTTGGGTTCTTCGGGAACCGTTTTTCGGTTTCTTTGGAATCGAGTTTTGGTTTTTCTGTAACTGTTTTTCATTTGTTTTTGAATACAGTTTAGGTACTTCCGAAACCGTTTTTCGGTTTCTTTGGAATCGACTTTCGGTTCTTCTGTATCGAGTTTCGTTTCTTGGGGAACCGTTTTTCACTTCTATTCGAATCCGGTTTGGGTTGTTCTGGAATCGTTTTTCGGTTCTTATGAAATCGAATTTCGGGTTTTCCGGAACCGTTTTTCAGTTTCTTTGGAATCGACTTTCGGTTCTTCTACGTTTGACATTTCTTTTGGGATCGAGTTACGATTTCGTTAGAACTGGTTTTCGCTTATTCCTAGAACCAGGCCGGTCGGTTCTCTAAAGTGCCCATTTCTCCGGTTCCGATTCCGGTTCCCCTTCCTCGGTTCTGTGCATCGCTAATAGAAACACATGTATGTACGCATGTACATATGTATGTATTTCTACTGATTCCATAGTTACGACTTTGCGACATCAGTTACGCCGAATTGACGGTGCTCAAGTTCACAATACTGTGGCTACCCTCGATTAAGTGACTACACATATACGCACACATACATATGTACAGTGAAGCGTGTAACACTTAAAAGAAACCGGAGCAAAGTTGTTAACAATTACATAACAAGCGTGTGGGTGAAGCAGAGCAGCTCATTGATGGTTGGCTGGATGGTTGGTCAGCTCGCTTGTCTGTCGCTGTGCTTTCCAATTCAATTGCTTTGGCCGGTCGTAATTAACTACATACGATTGATATATGTAGCTACACACGCACTCCCATACATATGTATGTATGGACGAATGTAAGTGCTTTAGTGAATGCAACTCTGTGTGTGTGTGTTTATGTGTTTACGCCAGTGCATCAAAGCATTTTACGTTTACGAGACGCTGAAGCTAATAAAATATTTCTTGCAGTACTACGTGCGGCTTGAAGCGTAAATAGCGAGCGAGGAAGCGAGCGCGCACAACGAGGGGGCGTAAGAGGGCAACGTGGAGTGTGAGACATCAAGAAAAATGTACAAGTGGGCACTCACTGTTTTATAGACTTGTAAACCCACTTCGATGCACAAGTATAATTGTTTATTTCTACTACTTGGCTTTTATTTCTGTTCGTTTATCGGTGTGTGTATACCACGCACGCAGGTGCTTGAACTGAGACACTTCGTTGCACATTTGGAATGTCCTCCCACTACCAATTTCACGTGTGACAGCACACACTCACACCGCAATGCAAAAGAACACACCGCGTACACCATTTGGGGGCGTGTATGTGGCATGCCACATTAGTGGGCTACAATGGGAATTTCATCCCCTCTTTGTCAGTTCTGTTAATCATAAATTCCTTCTTGAATTTAGCTGCTGAAAGGCTTTTATTTATCAATCGGTGAGTTTATTGTATGACTTTACTTTCGGTTTAGGCGGTTTAGGAGGTCATTAAGCAAAATGTTCCTTTAAATAAGTCACTACGCCAATTGACCTTTCTGTTATACATATTTACAGTGATGTGAGCGCTGGTAATTGACTGGGTGAATATACTAATTGGTTGTTTTGGCAACGCGTGGCACAGAGAAGTACACTCGTACGCTAAGTATTTATCTGTTGCCGAGAAATTTGTTGTAGTTCTATTGAAGTATCACGCTTGATATCACTTACTTGACTTGGTTTTATTGATTTTGGTTTTTGTTTGCATTAAGATGACTCATAAAATACATATTTATATAAGTATGTAAATAATGGAAATTCTACAAATTTCTTCGACAATTTTTTATCGAATTTATACTTTTATGGCATAATTCATAAAAAATATAAAAGGTTTAAAGAGCTTTATAAAGTGACACTTTCATACAAATTTATCGATTTTTAATGAAATTGGGTATTAGACTACCCTCAGAAAAAAGTCAGCCAATATTCCATATTTATCTCAACACATCATTTAGTAGCTATAACCAAATCATGTGTTGAGATAAAAATGTTTAGTTGACACAACTAAACTCTTTTCCCCTTGGAGTTTTATTCAATAATTGCATTTTATTTAATTTGTTAGCTCTTGCCAACCATGAATTATTTAATAACAGCTACGCATTTTCCTCTTAACTTTATCAATATTTTTCGCATACACTAGCATGGACATTCTTCATATCTATAAGCAAACGGGAAGAATATTGCCGAAAAATGTACACACCACTACACACAAAAGAACTCACATATGTACATACTAGGAATGTTAATCCCGGGATCCCGGAATTTTTAAGGTCTCGAAAATCCCGGTATTCTTGGCAAGTACTTCCCGGATTTTCGGGATTTGTAATTTGCATTGATGGCAATAATATAAACTCCTTTTCTTGACTAGTATTGGCTACATTTCTTTTGTTATTTAATAATTAATATTTTTTTTTATAAATTTCTAGCTCATTATACACACAACACCGCGCGATGGTAAATTTCAAACACAAATATCCATATATTCGCCAAACCCTGGGCTCTGACGTCAATAATTCAAAAATTATTTAAAAGGTTCAAAGAAATGTGCTTAGAGAAGATGTATGGGTATGAGGAAATCCTGTAGAATTTAAACAGATTCAAGTTTCTGATGCAGAAGGGCTGGTAAATATTGAAAATGTAATTTTAAAATTTTATCCTTGAAATTTCGCAATAAGAAACCAGACGAAAAATTAACATCCGTAGTACATACATACATAACTATTTAAAAAAATTTAAATGTATTGTGCATAATAACGAAATACACTCTTGGAAGATCACCTGAGTGCTGCTGTTCTTGGCAGCACTGTTGGCGCTGATGCCGGGTCTCCTCCATTCACATTGTTGCCATTGTTGTCAACCTTGTCAACAATCATTGCAATTTCCGGTCCGCTCTCACACATGCACATACATAAATGAATATATGTCCAGCTGGAATGGTAACGGCTGTTGTGTCTTTTAAATACTCAATGCCCCCAAAGGCTTACAATAAGTAATCTTTCCCTCTTCTCACCGCACTTTGGTCCTTATTTATTGTATCAACCACATAAAGGTTTGTTTGTACGTATGAATATGTACGTACATATGTATAGTATATGCTTCCTTCATATGTGACACTAACTTAATTCGTAAGAAATTTTTACTTTATTTTGTTGTCACCGTTCATACCTGATGCACAAACACGCACACGCATTCTCATATTTATTACCCTACAGTAAAAAGGAAAACTGGTCCACATATCATTCTTGAAGAGTAAGGGCCAGTTTTTCGGTGCCAGTTTAAACTTAGATTAAGTAAACTGAGTTTCAATTGACCAACTGGTTGGCATTTGATTGGCTGATCTTAGTTTAAATGAGGCAGATCGGGCATAACCTGATGCTAATGCTTACTAGTTCGCCTAAGGGATGGGGAAGGCTTTCAATTCTTGAAGTCAATTATTCATCTGGGATAGTGGACATCAAATGAATTTTTGAAAATTTACTAATGGAGCTTATGAATAACAAGTAATATTTAAGCAAACGCACAACCGACTTCAGTTCTCATCTTAAAACTTAGGAGTACCATTAATTTTTTCTTGATGAAATGTTCGGATCTAAATTTAATTAGTATGGCAACACCTGTGAGACACTACCATGCCGATAGAAAAATAATTATCGAAATAATATGTTTCTTTATTCGGTGACTGTAGCCCATCAACAGAAAGGCCAATGCTCATAGATTAGGGTCACCTCGTAACCACTCTTCTGTAAAGTGAGGAGAAGTTCAGCTGGAGAATAAGCACTAGAGCACGGCTAACCGATTAATCGGTTCACTTTAGACTAACCGTTCATAATCGACTAGTTGTTTTCATTCGATTACTTGACAGATTCGACTAATCGAATAGTTGTTTTCTTTCAATATTTCATAAGTTTTGCGGTTGATAGGCTTTGAATATTTATAGTACCAAAAATGGTGTGGTGCTGCATGAATTATGATGGAGATGAATACGTGACTTATAGAAAAATTTGCAAAATTCAAAGTGCATCCATCACCTTCATAAACTCATGGAATCCAGGCGTTGCAACAAGAGAAATGGGTAACATATTTGTTGCAATTAATAGTGCTATTGCACGAGAAATGGTATCTTGGTGCTCGTTTGAAATAGTTTCGCCATCTTCGTTTTTTCTGTTACGCCTACATTTTTGCCTGACCTGGTTCGGCACATTCACAATTGGCTACATCTGTGGTCCTGGGGTGGATAAACTATGGAAAATTACCACTTATTAGTTCGTTAACATAAACATACCTTTCCAGTTTCTGCTCCTTGTTCCTCTTATGAATGGCCTTCAAATGCGTTGCCAAAGACGATGTCGAATTATTATAGGCCATATTTTGTCCACATATTGTACACTTGACTTCTTTTCCACTTTCGGAATTAGAAAATAAGTTCCACACCCGGCTACGCTTACGCAAACTCATTTTGGATGAAGCAAATTTTTTGTTTTGAAGTGAGAAAAAATTTGTATTTAAACAACTTTCACTATTCGAATAATGACAGTTAATCAATTGCACGACTAGTCGAAGTTGATGAAACGATCGAATACTTGCTATTCGATTTTCAGTCAATGCAAAGGTTGCTACTCGACTATTCGAATAATCGGTTAACCGGATAATCGACTGTTAACAAGAGCTC